CCCCCCCCCCTTTCATTCAAAAATGTTAAAGATGTGCTGATCACAGTTTGTCAGATGAGAAATGTTCTCATGTTTCTGTATTGTTTCTGATTATAAACTCAAAAGCATGCAAGTTCAAAATGTGTCTGTAAGGGTTTCACATCGCCAAAAACACCCAGGGGCATTTACTAGATGAGTAGCTTTTAGTCGCAGCTTAAATCACGTTCGAAGTCAGAGAGCAGGAAGTTAAAAATCTGACCCTGCGTACTTGCTGCATGTCATTTTGCTTGCTTTGTGCACTGCATGTGTCAGAGCTTTCACCTTTTAATGGAAACCACACTTGAGAAGTGAGATAATACTTGATGCTTATCAAAGTGCTGCAAAGGGTTAAATGTAAAACAGTTCCAAGAGTGCAGTTAAATCTTATTATAGTCAATTCAGAGCTCTCTGATGATCAAATGGGAGACAAAGAAATCTGTGCCTCTGTAAAGACAAGCCAGCTCAAAGCTTCTTGCTAATACAGGAAAGGCTTCATTGTGTGCATGGCAAGAAAAAAGAGAAAAAAAGAACAATCTTTATCTGACAAGTTGTGTAACTTAGACCTCACACTTGTGTATGTGCGTGCTTATCTTGTTTGTACATGAAAGGAATGACTTTAACCAAACGCAGCAGTACGTTTGTTAAATATTATTTTCCCTGTGAGGAACCAGAAGGTGGTGGGAGTAGCTACAATAAATGGAAGCTGTTTGCTGTGTGTTTGATAAACAAGGCAGACAAACTACTAGGCTTTAGTTTGTATCTGTTGGTGGGCTTGCAAGCTTTTTTGGCAATCAGCAGCAGATAATGTTGTTTTCAATAATAGTATTGGCTTTCTCCTTGCTGTCTGGACGGGGTTTGCGCTCAAAGACGAGGCCGTGCCAAGTAGAAGTAAACAGGCGCTGCAGCCAGGCGAGCGTCTGCCGCGGCTGAAAAATGCACGTTGAGATGTCAGCCTCGTCGGCTAATGTCAGTTCGCCCGCGCTTCAGTTGTTATTCTACATGTGATTGACTTCTTTTATTCTTGTTTGGGTGCTTGAGGGGACCGATAAGATGTCACACCAGTTAACCACTGTTTGTCTTGTTGCTCGAGTTCTCTGTGCGTTCAGAGGAAAGTCTAGAGCAGTTTGGACTGTCTTGCATTTTGCTCAATTAAGAATGGTGTCATTATGTATAAACATCTGTCTCTAATTAATTCAACATATGAATTCATTTAAGTTTATAATGTCTTTTTCTGCTCTCTCTCTCTGTTTTACAGTACTATGAGATGTCCTACGGGCTTAACATTGAGATGCACAAACAGGTATGTAGCCATATCAGAGATGCTTTGTGTACAGCCAAAACACCCCCCTCCCCCATCCCTTCCTAGTGATTAAGAATATAAACACATACACATGCATACCTGATCTTAGTTTCTACCCTCATCTCTAAATGCTTCTGGGAGCGTACACATACTGGCTTCCTGTAGTGAAAACGCTGACAGGCTAAACAACACGAAGGGCACGCTGCCTGATGTGGATGGTTTGATAAGATTAAAGTGAAGTATTTGGCGCAAATTCTGAGAAGATGGTGCGTGTGTGCGGTTTGCCTTTCTGAGTGTGTGAGTGAGCACATATGTTGCCTGCTTTATTCTCCAAGCCTCCCAAGTGCCATTTGAGCTAAAAGCTCATTAGTTCAGCTGCCACCCAGTACTGGGCATCATGCTGTATCAAAAATGTCCACAGTTCACTCCATGTCACGTTACCGTTGAGTTAGGTTTAGAAGCGCTGGCCACATTTGTTGGTGTACTTCCAGTTGATCTTTGGTCTGTCATGTCCAGACTGTTTGAAGCAGGTTGGTGGGGTTTTTTTTTTTGGTTTTTTTTGTTTTTTTGCTTTTCTGTTTTGTTTTGTGGAAACCGTCCCGATAATGGGATAGTAGTGAAGTGGTCAATAGTGAATTGACTTACTGAACAGTCCTCTAGCAAGAAACAAAGTTGAGTAACTCCAGCAGTGCTTTGATGGCGTGTGTGTGTGTGTGTGTGTGTGGTTTTGTTTTTTTTTGGTTTTTTTTTTAATCTATAATACTATAGAGTTGCAAATCTAGAAAATTAACATGAATAATGTTTTCAGTGGGGTTGGGGTGTTTTGGACTGGCTATTGGACACAATTTATTCCCTCAGAATGTTCGTTTGTGCTCTAGGTTTGTTTTTTTTTGTTTTTTTAACATGAATCCAGAGAATAAAAATAGCTGTAAGTTGTGGCTTCTACCTGTAAGATGTCTGTACTTGTTCTGAGAAATCTCACCTGATGAGTTTTGATGCACGCACAGGTTGATCTGGACTGTATGCCAGAGAATTTTTGGAATAGTTGGAGTAAGATATTGTAATCACACACATACTGTAGTCACCAGAGGCCCAAATAAAGAATCAACCCTCTGTAAAAGTCAGATTGCACCTGAAGACAGCACAGCAAAACCGTTCCGTTTAGCTAACGATGTGACCCGAGGCTGTAGTCAGCTGTGTGAAATCACATCAGCATAATGTTTTTATTCTGTTTACTTTAAAAGGAGAAGAACAAAAGATGAACATAATCTCCAGACTGCCCCTTTTTTATCTTCCTGCACTTACATTTCCATTTGCTCTGATTCACACTTGCTTTCTGTTTCCTTCAGTCGCTTTTGCCTCCCTAATTCTCCTTCTCCACCTCCTCTTGGCGCCCTTATGTCTTTTCATTGCGCCCTCCTCCCTTTTCTGCCCCCGCCGCCCCAACGATGTGATGTGAATGATGGTCCTTGTGTCATTAGCTGTGTGATATGATGTATGAGAGTGGGAGTCTGTCAGAGGGGGAGAGAGAGAGATGGAGAGGGGTGGGGTGGAGGCTTCATGGCCCTCAGATCCAGAAGGTTAATGGCATCAGTGGGAGGGTAGCCCAGTTGGAACAGCAGCACACTGCGCAATTCATCAAGCGTAGACATTTTCTGTAGGCACGTGGTGTGTGTGTGTGTCTCTGTGTGTGCATGCGCACTTACTAGGTGTGTTTACAGTTTATCGTAGAGCTGCCCACCCCCCTTCCTTCACGTTGCTGAGCGTTTCTCTGTAAAGCAACAAGGAGATTGTAGTGATGCAGGGTGGGGGTGGAGCTGGTTGTTGTGGTTAGATGATGGTGGCGGTGGACAAAACAAGTGGGTAAAAAAAGGGGTGTGGTGGTGGGGTAAGGGGTGGAGACAGGAAAGAAGTGAGGGCCTTCAGGGTAAATGGGTTAATCGACTTGTCCTCTCCTGTGCATCTCCTTTGTTTATCAATAAGCCCGGTGGAGACGACTGAGATCTCTGAATAATGCATGCCCCCCCCACAACACACACACTCTCTCTCTCTCTCTCTCACACACACACACACACACACACACACACACACACACACACACACACGATCTCCCATCCCTGGTGAACGAGTGTCTGTGGTGACATCAGCGAGTGGTAAACAGATGCCCCTCAGCTGTCCCTGTTATTGGTGCGACCGGAGGGAGGCTGGATTATTGGATGCAGGCAGGCATATTACTTCGCTTGTGCTGAAGATTTATTGCAGTGTGGCAAAGAAATGATAAACTAAGAGCGCGATTGAAAAGAGAGGGGGAATAGGTATAAACACGGGGCGCACATAAATATCTACTCCCCATCCCTTACATGGTAGCACCAGTTGTGTCTTTACACACAAACACTGCAATTCAAGTTCCCGCAGATACAGTTTCCCCTACTGCTGCCGCCGAGCTGAATAGTTGCTATGAAAGGGATCTGTGCGGCTGCCGGGGGGTAATTTGTTTTGACAGTGTCTCTTATGATGGCAAAGAGTGCAGGGTGGAGGTAATCACCCTCGCTTGCTGTCAATAAGTGATTTTAATTAGCGCAGCTCATTAGGCTGCCTCAGCATCGTGCCCTGCTGACTTTGTGGTGGGGGATGCTTTGTGTTTTTTGTTTTTTTGTTTTTTTTTCGCTCCCTCTGTTCTCTGTTGTGGTCCCTGTTTATCTCTCGTACGCTTGCCTACATTTTGATTTTTTTTATTCTTTTTTTTTCTCTCTCAAATGTTCTCTCTTTGGCAAAGTGAGTGCCACATGATTAGAAAGCCTGATGAATAAATTCCTCTATTTTTCTACTGTGCTGCTTAACTTAGTTGCACCTTGGGTAGCCATTTTGTGAATTTGCTCCACATATCCATTTCCTCACTTGTTGAATGAATGAGGGAAACAGAGAAAGTGCTTTGTCAAGGAGAGTGAAGTCCGTTTCCTGGAGGAAGAGGGTGAAAGGAGGAGCAGAGGGAGGGAGACGGGAGAGCTTGTGCAAATGAATAATTTATACAGGATTCCTGGAATTGTTTGCCAAGGTGATGATGGCCGATCTTTCTCAAAGCCAAAACAAACTGACTATGAGAACACACACACACTGTCTGTGTGTTTGTGTGTGTCTCAAGGGAGCTTGACGAGGTTACCGGAGGCTGAGAGACCTGCTTTATTTTGATAGCCAGGCTAGAAGGACTGGAAGAACAGTATTACACAATGAGTGTGTGCGCGCTCGCTAAAACCAGCTGATGACAGGCCTGTCATGAATATGTGTGTGCATGTAAACTACATAATTCAGAAATAAGAAGCATAAAAAAATGTTGTGTATTTGATGATTTGAGCGTTAACAAAATCAGATGTAATCTGTTGGAAAACAACCTGTTTCCATATGCTCCCCCTGCAGAAAAGTGTGTGTGTGTGTGTGTGTGTGTGAGCTCAAAATAGAATGACATGCACATGCAAAATATTCTTCATGCATTTGTAATGAACAAGATACCTCTAAGTGCCTCTTTCTTTCTCTGCTCTGGCTGAGAAGATAATTCCCAAACAGCCATCTCTGCGCCCCCCCACCCCCCACCATCATATGCCACTTGTTTTCCTCGCCAATTGAATCCTCGTCAGAGACTCAGCTCTCCACTCGGGGGCTAATGCCTGGAGCGACAAACAGCCAAATGGCTTTCAACGCACCATTGACGGGGGGGGCAGGCAATGGAGAGAGAGAGAGAGAGGGGGACAGAGAGTGAGAGCCTCTCCAAACTCTGGTGCTACTAGACAACCCTGAGTACCTGTAATTGTGGAGCTGCAGTGAAAAGCTTCTGTCGGCTCAAAGGCTTCTGTTTTCAGTGGCTTTAAGTGACAGTAAACTCTTTCCAGTGCCCGTCTCTGCCACTAAAAGCACTGTGGAAAATAGTGCCTGCAAAGTAAAGTGGGAGTCGTTACGAGCGCTGCAAGTCATTGGATTTGTTATCAATGTGTGCAGGGTTTTTTTTGTTTTTTTGTTGTTGTTGTTGTTGTTTTTTATTTTAACCCTTCAGAATGGCTGGCTGTCAAAAAGACGTGCAGATATGCCATCTGCCTGTTTTGCTCTCCTTAACGCATGAACTCTGTCTGAACAGAGCTGAGTGACTAAATACGACACGGAAGGATGAGATGTAGCTGGCAGCATCAGCGATTCGGTTGAGGGGTTTACAGTCACAGGTTGACATGCGAGCCGTGTTTGCACTCATGATCTCTTAAATCGACGCTCCTGTGTGACACTGCAATAAATTGGGCCCAGAAAGTACAACAGAAATGGATGCAAAGGAAGTCTGCTCCATTGTTTTATTTCCTGGCTCCAAAGTAATATTTAAAGTCGAGGAGGGGTGGGGTGGGGGGTATTTCAGAGGAAGCCATGGGTTTTGGGAATATTTAAGTAGCTCAGCTCTCAAAGCACCTGGTGCTTCAGCTCATGTTTCAGAATGAATTGTTGAGAGAAATCTGTGTTTTTAGCACAGTACTAAACAACTCAAAAAAAGCAAAGGTGCACCTGAATTCAGTGAATTTTATTTATTTATTTTTTGGCTTAAAAGTGGTGGCTCTGAAGTGGTGATTTGCACCGAACAAATGGATGCCTTTCTGTGTGAGGGAGGGTTTGTATGGTGGTTGCTCTAATAGCCGAGTGTATCAGCACAACGCCGTTTCTACAGGCCCCATGTTGCTCCCCTTGCAGCCATTTCCAGAGAAGTGGTGTGATACTGAAACACTCTCACCCTACCCATGTGTCATTGTATCCAGCCTCCGCTAATGATGATGGTTTATGAGTCTCCGAAGAACCCCACCACCATCACCACCCCCATTTCCAGTCTCCCAGTTATCCCTCATTAATTTCCCGTGCTGATCAGATCGACAGGCCGAAAATTCAATTTAATGACCTGCCTCTGTGCTGCGCCTAATATGATTTTACAGGCTGTTCTGGTCAGAGCCCCAGCCCAATTTACATAACGATCAGCCGTGCCAGATAGTGTTGCCCCAGCAACAGAAGAGGGGGGAGATGAGAGGAAGAGGAAGGAGGGAGGGCAGAGAGAGTAGTGGAGATTAGCGTGAAGGGGTGCGAAGAAGCATTTGGAGGAGGAAGGAGGGGAGAAAGCACAGTGCGTCTGAGGTCAGACGGGGGTTGTGAGATAATTCCTGACAGGCCAGCAAAGGTCTCTCTCCTCCTCTTCTCTCCCTCTTTTCCCATTTCTCCCCCCTCCTCCAGAATGAAAAGAGTGACTCAGAGGCTGTGCAGAAAGCTACTGGCACCTCCTCCCTCCCCCCCTTTCACAGTCAAACAAGGTTAAGGGAGAAAATGAGTGAAGTGCAGCATCGTATAAAACGGCGGGAAGGACCTCTTCAGCCCCCACACACCTGCTGGGCCTCCACCCCTAATCTCTCAGAATCAATTAGTTCACCTCCCCCGGTCCAGTCAAACCACATTACCTTAGTGTCACATCAGAGGGTTTCACTTCACCATTCATCACCCCCACACATACCCCACCACTTCTCTTTTATTCTGCTTTCTACTTTTGTGTTCCTCTCCTATGCATCTTCCTCATCTCTTTCTATGGAAAGTGCAGATTCAAAAAAAAAAAGGAAATGGGCTTGGGCAAAATGTCTAGGGACCTTCAAGTGCGGTAGGCGGGCAGCACAGCATATCCATTTGACCAAATGCAGCACTGTAAAGTGCTCCATGTATGGTGAGCCCTCCAGTATCAGCTTACTCTGCCAGCTAATATTCTGTGGTCGATACCAAAGATGCCTCTGATAGATAGGGCCAGAGTTAACCTGTCTGCTTCAGCGTGCCCTACCCCCCTCTGTATGGGCCGTAATTATGAAGTATGGACCTCATTAGGCTTTCTCCAGCCAGATGGTATTAGCATATTTCAGGCCTTAATGAAATAAGGCCTGAGCTTAATGGAGGCAGGAGAAAGGGGGAAGCAAATTTGTTCTAAGGCGGTCCCAGTTTAGTTAAGAAATACATGGTGTGTCCGGATGGACACTGCAACATTTAGTGCTATGTTATTGGCTATTCTGTTGTCTGAGGCATGCAGTATGCTGGAAGGATGTCATTCTAATCATTTCTGTCTCTTCTCCTACAGACTGAGATTGCCAAGCGCCTCAATGCAATTCTGGCTCAGATCATGCCATTCTTGTCACAAGAGGTGAGTGTCAACCCAGCCAGCAGCATTTCAGGGATGAGACTGAGACTCATTTGTTTCACATTCTGCTGTTACTGTAGTTGTGACGATGACTATTGTGCAGATAATCTCTGGGGAACAACAGATGATTCACTGCACATAACAATGAGGAACCCCTTTTTTTTTTCCCCCTTCTTTTTTTAAATTGACAGTTTTAGCCCACTAAATAATGTATTTGACTCAAACGTCAAACAACTACTGACCACTTCTAAAAATATCGCCCCTTTTCGAGCTCATCCTGTCAACATTGAGCAAATAGTCAAACATAAACACATAAATCAGTTCTTCTGAAGGAACTGGCTTTCCTGGAAAACTGAGATGAGAATTAATGCGCAAGGAAATGAAATGAAAGCAAACCTTCAAACGCCTCAAGCAGCAAACCTCCAGACAATAGATTTCAGTTTCAGTGTTCCTTTGATTCACTCTGACCTGCATTTCTATAATACATATAACACATATAATACAGAGTATTTTTTTATGTCTTGTTTTACCTAGTAGAAGATTCTCCTATTATGTTGAGTGCTATGTAGTACATTGATGTGTTGTTTTATTGACGATAAGTGCCATTAAATGACTATCGTGCATTATGGAGGCCCCCCCCAAGCTTAAGTGTCTACTTGTCTAGATGAACCATCAGGCGGGGAACTATTCTTCTCCATCAGTGATCTAATCTTTGTTTATGTGTCCTGCAGCATCAACAGCAGGTGGCTCAGGCTGTTGAACGGGCCAAGCAGGTGACAATGACTGAGCTGAATGCTATCATCGGGGTACGTGGACTTCCCAATCTGCCTCTGACTGTGTGTATATCCCCTCTTCTTCCTTCATTTGACCTGAGACCAGAGGCAAAACTGCATACGTGAAGGAGGACCAGCATTCAGATAGAGATATGTAGATTATTGAAGCGTGCTACATTTTGCTCACGGGTGTATTTGACCTTTCTAAGCTTTGGCCGAAGTGTCGCATGTCAAGAATAACCGGGGAAAAGGGCAATAGATTCACAGGGGAAATGGGGGTGAAAAGGGGATAAAAGTAGCTTAGCATATTAATCTGCAGCAATTTTCTTTCACCCGTCTGTGGCATTTGAGTTTTTAGACTAAATGCAAACTAGTAACATCATGTCCTCTTCACTTGTACAGACTTGCCCTGGTCTCAAGTGGTTTATTATGTTTTTATTTGAGTTGACAATGTGCTGTCAGTATGGCGTTTTTTTTTTTTTTGCTGTAATTTCTGATTGTTGGTTAACCATGACCCGTCAGCACCCAGGTTGCAGCTCCGCTCTGATTTTCCTCCTCTCAGCCAGAGTCAAAGAACATCTGATATATAGTAACACAGTCCAGACTGGGAGATCAGATCATGGTGTTTCTCAGATTTCACTTTGGCTGCACTTTAATTAGATAAAAGGACCCAGCCAACAGGCTCTGACCCAATAGCTCGAGGAATTAAGAGTGGTCAGGTCAGGACAAGCCATTGTGATTACAACAGAGATTACAGCAGCATGAACTTAGCAGGTACTAAGCATTTGAAAGGTGTAGTGGATAAAAGATTTCGGCAGTTGTGGAAGAATAGGGAGAACAGGAACATCTTTTTTTCCTCCCTACTGTTTACTACATTGTTCCCTGATGGTTGCCACAGCTTCTATAATTAAGTCATGTCATTTAACAAGCTTAATTTAGCTATTTATGTTGTTGCTATGGGTAAAAAGTGCAACAAGTTTGTTTGTTTGTTTATTGTCATCATAATTCAAAGTTTTCATTTCAGGCGTTATTTGTTACAATCCAATATTTAATGGAGCAAATGATTGGGACAAGCTGCAACAATGTTTTGCTTTTAATTCTTTAAAAAAGTAAGCAGAACTAAATTGTTTATTTGTAAAGCTGTTAATATGAACAGTAGGCGAATAAATCACATTGGTTAACTTAACAGTTGGAGCTTATTCCTTTAAAAAAATCAAATAAAAATCCCAGATGTTTAAATCTAGCAAGACAGTACAGGGAAACTCTTTCCCCAAAAAATCCACTCTGAAATATAGCCTGTGCACTGCCCGGATCTTGCATTTGCTTTTCTTAAAAACATACATGCGTATTTGGTTTTGATAGTCAGGTTACATAGTGATAGGAGGCTGTCGACTGAGCAGCAGATTTTAAAATTCGGTTTAGTTTAATGAGCCAGGAGCTGAGGGTAATTATCCACTATTTGCGCTTCTATGTTTTTTTTTGGGGGTTTTTTCCCTACGAAGTCCTTTCCACAACAGGAGTTGACCCTGCCTTCATTAAAGATAGGCAGGGCTAGCCTGAAACACACACACAATAATACACTCAGGAAAACAGGCTTAATTATAGGGTTGAAAAGATGGCAGGTGATCAATCTCCATGCCCCCACAGGGTGGGTGAGGCAGTGATGCTCTAGCGTCTCAACATTAGAGCCTCAGAAACACTCGGAGCATCAAACTCAGGGAGTGTTCACCTCAGTTGGATCAGAGAGTGCATTTGAGACATGCATAAGTTAGAGATTTGCCCTGCAGGCACCACCTGCTGTACTGTCAGGTTGTCATGTAAAGACAACCATGTAAAGACAACTGTAAAGAATCCATACACGCATACTGTATGGAGTACGTAACAGAACCACCCCACCCTCTCTTAATAGCTGTTAGTGACTGAGGCCAAAAACAGTTTTTCTTTCAATGTGGGCCTCACTCATAAAAACAAATCTGTTAGGTAGCATTATGCCGTAGGAAAGCTGATCGGTCAATTTTCTAGCTGGTTTGGTAGTGTAGTTTATTAAAAGTCGTTCCTAAATAAAAGGGCTAAAAATAATTAGATTAGCATAATTTTTACAGCATCATAAGGCTGGTCTCTACTGGTCTCTCCCCTATTTTGCATGAGTTTTTGGCCAGAAGCAGCGTATGATTGAGTCTGATTTGACAAGTGTCAGAGGTGCAGACTCATTTCCATGTTCCTACCCTCATTTCCATGAATTTGACACAGGGCGAGATTGTAGTTGGGATAATGGTTAACAAGTCAGTTACAGCCGGTGTGCTCCTTATCACGTATCATGTAAATGCTAATCCGCAGAACACAACATAAACCTTCACAGCGTCAAGTTTTGCTGTTGTTACTCCAGTAACAGCGATCTCCTCTCCTTTGCATGTTTTATTTGGCTATGCGTATGTCTTTTATTACAGAGTAAGAGTGTCTACATTTACATAGTGTGACTACAGTGTCCAAATTTACACATGCTTTGACTTAACATCTCACAAAAGCCGGTGATGTCTTCATCCGATTTGAATTCATCACTTGGGGCTTTTTGTCGATTTAATGAGGAAAAATAAATGATTGTATTAAAAATAGCCATCAGGTGCAGCCCTACCTCTGAATCTCTGCTCTCTCCTCTGACCCAGCACCTGCACCCGCCTCGTGGCGTCTACCCAGCCTTCACGGTCAGTGTTGAGAGGAGGGTTTTGAATGATTAGCTTGCAATGAAATGTCTGTTTTTTGTGAAGGGGAATGATGCCTTTTGGAGACAAAGGACAGCTTGGGGCGTGTCAGGTTATTTTTGGCCTCTACTCTGCCCGACTCTGGTGTTGTGCATTTGACAGAACGTTATCTCTTTATTCGACTAACCTCAGAAATGTTACCCCCGTTCTTCCACTGCTGTATTCTGCTTCAAACATAGGTTGTAATCCAAATCTTAGAGTCTTTGTTGTGACGACCGAAGAAGATACGATGAGCTCGAAACTGTTGTAAAGCACAGAATAAGTGGGTAATGTGGCGATCATTGCCAGACTTATTAAGCCAGGGTGCCAGCTGGTTTGTGCTGGTGCTGTTGATGCTTGTTCCACCTGACAGTACTGTTCTGCAGGGAGCCAGCTTCGCCTAGTTAACTTTAATTGCCTGTTTCCTGTGGAAGTTGCCTGAGCTGCTGCGGCATTTACACATAATGAAAAAAGATAAGTGTGAAAGGAAGCCAGCTCTTTATCCATGAATATTGAATTGGAGGCAATTTATTTTCTGAAATTTTTTTTTCCCCCTCTTTTTTTTCTCTCTTCTCTCTCGCTCTCTGCACCTCACGACTCCCTTCCCTCGTCTCTCCTCCTCCTCCTCAGCCATAGCTCGCTAATGAGGCTTCTTGATAATGATCCCTGCACGCTTTTCCTCATTAGGCACACTCAATAGGGACGTCCCTGCCTCAATCCCTCGCTCACTCTCTTTCATTCTCTTGTTATTTTCTGATTCTGCCTCTCCCTCCTTTTCTTGTTCTGGCTGCCCCTTCCTCTCTCTCTCGTTTTTTCTTTTCCCCCTTCTCACTTTTTCCCTTTTTTCACAACAAATAGGCTGCTCGGCAAAGCAGTACAATATCGATTAACAATGCCACCCCTCAGTTGCTTATATCCATTGTGCGATTTCAGGTCCAGCTCGGCATAATGAGCTGACTGAATAATGGCCAACTGCTAAATAAGCCTTTAAATGTGGGAAGTCACTAGATATACCCTTGTCTAGTTTCTCCATTTTATGTAATGAATGTATGGATGAGCTTATTGAAGTTCTGTCTAGCAAGCAGAATAGCAATCATGTTTTTTTTTTTTTTTCCTCCCTTTTTGGAGAGGCAGTTGATGGATGTGCTAAGTGTTATTTAACCTTGTTTTAAAGCACTTGCTTCCCTCTTGCCTGAGTGGCTATTTAACTCCTGTCTATCTACTCTCTCTCTCCTCTCTGGTTGCTTCTCTCACAGACACATTCAGGGCGTCATGGGAGCCGTGTGTGTTCTCCGCCGTCTCTGCTTAACAGCATTTTGCTGAAGGAGTGCATGCTTGCTTGGTTTTCCAGAGTGTTGAAAGGTTTTGAGGTTTTCAAGTGTAGACCTATTGATTTCTCTTTTTTTCCTTTTTTTTTTTTTTTAAACTGTCCCAGCTATGATTGAAGCACAGCGGTTTGGGAGTGAACAAAAGCGTTGTATCGTTTTTGGCGACCACAGGTGACGTGTTATTGAGTCAAACACAGTTGTCAGATAAAGGTCACGTACCAAAACAATGAGCAATTTGTAAAGCTTGCAGTGATAAGCGTATCAGTGTGGTAATGAGTGCAGAGCGTGATTTTTAAAGAGAACCAGACGTGTAGAACAAACGTGAGGTCGGGGTCCTTTCAGAGGAGGAACATTATGAGTCATCTGTGTGCAAACTCTGCACGGGTTTGCTAACTTTTACATCGCTGGTGAAACAGCCTTTTTGGGGCAGTTTGTAATTCAAGTGTTGCTCAAGCCTCAAATGGTAAATATCATGTGGCTGCAGCTCCTCCTTGTTCTGATTTGCTTTCTTTAATAGGAATTTAAATTGAATATCTTTATACTCAAACACCTGTCAGTTTTTCTGGGAAGTAGTGATTGGTATTTCACACTATTTCCTGGTGGAGCTGGATCCACATGTTGGCGGAGACTTGCAGGCAGCTATTACGCATAAACTGTTTGGCTTTCAACTGAATGTCGTCAAAGCCAGCTCTAATGCAGCAGAGTGTGCTCATTCATGGATCCACTTCCCAGCCGACCCACTTGTCCTCTGTCGTGTCTCTCGTCTCTCTGCGTTTGTTTGCAGCAGCAGCAGCTTCAGGCTCAGCACCTCTCTCACGCTGCCCACGGTCCCCCGGTCCAACTGCCCCCTCACCCTTCAGGCCTGCAGCCGCCCGGCATCCCCCCCGTGACGGGCGCTGGCTCCGGCCTGCTGGCTCTAGGCGCTCTTGGCAGCCAAGCCCACCTGCCTGTGAAGGATGAGAAGAACCACCACGACCTGGAGCACCGAGGTGAGGAGCAAAGCCTGCCACACACAAACACGCTGCCTATGGCATTTTAGGGATGATGGCTAACTGTAGCTGCCAAGCACTGCTTTCTCCAGCCAAATATATTAATCAGTGAAACACATCAATATAGGTTTTTAAATGTTTTTGTACCAAATGCTTGTGTGACAAAAAAAATTTTATATTAGATTTTAGATGTTTTTCTTGTCAATCCCTTGATTGTGTCAGCATGAAAATAGTTTATTCTGACACAAGACAACATAAGTTGTAATCATTCCTTTACCATTAGTATTAAGGCTTTAAAATCCATTAACATATCAGCAATTGAGGTATCAGGTTAATAATTGTTGATCTTAAATATGAAAATTAAACATGTCTTCCAAGTGGTATCAAAATCAATACTGCTGAGTTGCTGATATGAGTAATCCTGGTGACACCCATACTAATTTGTGTTTTTGCTTTTCTCTCTCCTGGCCCCTCATCTTTTCACTCGCCCCTGGCCATTCCTCTGAAAGAACGCGAGTCGAGCACGGTACGTTGACTCTCCGTCTCCCGTGTGTCGCTCTCTTGCTTACTGTGTTTGGTGATTAGGTGTCTTTACATAGACGACAGCCCTTTGTTCAATAGAAACTCATGTGCGGACACACACACACACTGCTGTAGTCACAGGGGTATAAGCTGACTGAATCAAATAATTACCGGTACGTCTGGCCAAATAAGCCAGTGCCATCTAATCCAGGTGGAAAATGACTCCAATCACTGAGCAAGGATTAGTAGTCAGCAACCTCCTTTAATTTCAGCACAATTAAAAGCGACTTTGACTCTCCTTCTCTTCATCCCTAACCACCTTAAAGGATTTACTGGTTGCATGTGTCCCCTACCTGGCTCTTTACATCCCCTCTTATCTACCCGTCTCCTTTTCTTTTGCTAATTCTATTATTTTTCTGCTCTGTATTCTTATCTTAGTCATTCATTCCTTTCCAGCGCTTTTTTGATTCACCCTCCAGTCTCTCGCCGTCACAGTCTCTCTTCCTTCTCATGTTAAGGTCCTTGTTTATTGGGCTAGCTTAAAGCTCTCAGTTAGCCAGAGTGCAACGCTCTGTTGGATCTGCTTGGCCAGATTGAGTTCCCATTGACTGACCATCCTGAATGGACCCACTCATGTCTGAAGGGAACCCAAACTCGTCCCTCTTCTCATGTGGTGACGAGCGGCTGCCAACGCCACCTTACCTGATCTCCCCGCCACAGTCTTCCTCCCTCTCTTTTCCAGTTTGCGCACACAGTCTTCCTGTCCTTTTGTGTCAGGTCATCTGATACTGGAGTTGGAGGCAAGTGCAGGGTTATTGAGTCTAAGCAATCCTTGAAAGGCTTCAGACTCAGATACACAGACAGGCTGCAGTAGATTTTTATCGGTCTATCTTTGCACCAAACCAGATTAAAACTCTTCCACAACAGCAGCTGAACCTGAGGAGGAGGCCAAAAGCTGCTTGGTTAGCGTAAATGGTTGGGCAACTGTAGTGGAAGTGTATGTTATTAACTCCTCCAGCACACTTTTTTTTTTCCCTCACACTCTCCTCAATTTAGGAGGTTTTTATCTCACTAGGTTTTCAAGCTGTTACCTTTCTATGCTGTTCTTTCTTTTTGAGTCAGCCAATATGTCAGAAACCTCCCTACTGCCTCTTTCACCAGGCCTTTCTGTCTCTGATGAAGGCAGGGATTTGTTGAGCTACCTAACAGTGTGGGCTATCCTCAGGGTGTTCTCGCCTACACTTCCTCCCTCCTTCTCCCCCTGCCTTTTGGCCTGTTTGGCAGTGCCACCCCACCACACCAGCGCCCAGACTACAAAAACCCTGTTTGCAGCTTCTGAGAGAGTGCCAGCCTGTCCGAGCATTCCCACTAGTGGGGAGGACTCATTGCCACACTGCTATGCTCTCATTGCTTGCCAAGTTCCTTTCCTGTTTTGCTCTCTTGTCTGCCTTCATTTTCTTTTCTGGTTTTTTTTTCTTCTTCCTTTCCCCTTCATTTTCTCACTCTCTCTTTCATGGCTCTTTTCTCTGCTGGCAGCACCCTCTTTCACTTTGCTCTCTGGTCCAGGTTCCCTTAGTGGCCTCTTTCTTTGCTTCCTCTTTTTTAAAAACATTAGTTCATTTTCATGAACTTTACAGTCAGTGTTTTTTCACTGTGACCTGTCACATTACAGAGATAAGCACACATACAGGAGCAGCAGCCTTAGACTTGGTTTTTGTGGTCAGTTTTGTTTTTATTTGCATGTACTTACTGTTAGGCAGTACTGTTATGAATGTGGCTTGTTGAGTTTGAGTTGGTAGCGTGTTTCTGGCTTTCTTGTGTGTGTGCATGCTTCAATTTTTTTTCCTCTTTGCCTCTGCTCTTTCATCACCTTGTGTACCACTCTCCCATTGGTGTTCTCTGTGTTTATGCGCTAGCTGTTTCCTCAGTCTAGGACTGTTGTCCAGTTAGCTTTGCACCCAATAGTGTTACTGGTCTGACAAAGGAAAGGGCACTAGAGTCCTCTCTGGGTGAAAACGCACTGCTCGGTAGCATGCGCCTCTCATCAAGGTTTGTCACCTGCTGCATTTAAACTACAAAACAGTGACTTTGCTGAAGGGCACAATCTGGCAGAAAAGAGTTTGCTCTACATCACAGGCTCCACTCAACCGATAACTCCATTCATTTGCAATATTGGGTTGCCAAGACAGCAGCTTAAAGTGCTGAAAGATTGTTTCAGAGATTTATTAAAATGCAATTCTACATAATGCAACACACCGTAATGTCCTCATAGCTCTCTAAGCACATATAGTTCAGGATATTTATTGTTTTAAAGAGACTAAAAGGGAACTGGAGACTGATGTGGTCTGTCTGCATGTTCTTGTTGGCAGAATAACTCAGTTTCGCCATCAGACAGCCTGCGGGCAGCAAGCGAGAAGCACCGCAGCTCATCAGACTATGGTCTCGAGTCCAAGAAACGCAAAGTGGACGACAAAGACAGCATGAGCAGATATGTGAGTGTTTGTTTACTTTCCGTCCAAATAATAAAAAATGATAATGTTTGTAGCCTGTTTCGTTTCAAAATTTACCTTTCAATTGCTAATTGCGGTTTTCCTGGAAGGGTATACCTGAGTTTATTCAGTTAGCTTAGTAATGAAACTTACTTAACGCTAAATGCAAAGTTTATTATGTGCATACTGTTTCTATCCACAGACTTATCTTCATATTAGTTAAAATTAATGCCAGGTTGCAAAGTTCTCCCAAAGACACTTCATTGAAGATGTAAATATTAGAAACTGTGACAAAGTGTTACATTTAGCATTTTGAACTTTTCTCTGTGTGCAGCAAATAACCCTGTAGCTCATTCATTCTCAGTCTTCACATCTGGTCTGGTCAAGAATGTGGACCACTTTGGTTTATGCTGTAATTTTTGCCGTCCCAGTGAGCTAACCCGTTACTCCGTCATTTCAGGACAGTGATGGAGACAAAAGTGATGACTTGGTGGTGGATGTCTCCAATGAGGTAAGACTGCAATTAAACTGAGCTGCTCAGTCACATTTTTCAGTGTGAAGGCTGCACACAAAACTAAACACAGCTCTCTTTTGTCTGCCGAAGCCTCAACACCTTTCCACATTGCCAAAAAGTCTATCAAAATATTGGTTGTGTGCGATGAGTGTGTGTTTACTTGCTGTATTTCTTTTGCCACTCATGCAGAAAGTGCGACAAAGAATACAAAGAAAAAGGGGGTGACAGGTGAATGAGAAGTGCGTGCATGTGTGTGTGAGAAGGAGAATGTGAACGTGCATGAGTATATTTATCTGTGTTTGCACATGAGGCCCCGGTTTGTTTGACCTACATGTACATGCCAGTGGCTTTCCTCCAGTCTGTTTGCTCAGTCTTGCTCTCTGTCTGTCTCATTTAACTCTGTAGGATCCGGCCACCCCTCGAGTTAGCCCCGCTCACTCCCCTCCTGAAAACGGGCTGGATAAATCACGAGTCCTGAAGAAAGATGCTGCCCCCAACAGCCCCGCCTCTGTCGCCTCTTCGGGCAGCACGCCGTCCTCTAAAGCTAAGGACCACGCCCATGTGAGTGTCAGGGACATGCTGCAAGACTAGAGAGAAGCTGAAATAAGGAGGTTACAGCGGAAGGGCAGGGGAGGCTGAACTGACACACTAAAGAGCATTTGTCAAGTGAAGTGGATGTCTGTGTGAAAGACTAATACGCAGGCTTAGCAGTTAGCTGCTATGCGGGGCTTGCGAGGGCAGAGGGTAGATGCACTCTCAGGAAATCAAACCCTATGGCTCAGCCCTCTCAATCTCCTTTATGGCTTACCCAATAAATGGTCATTTCTCCCTTGGCCTCAGGCTGTAAATAACCCAGAGACACAGCAGCGGGGGAACTGCTGTCTCTGTCTTTTTATGCTGCAACTCATCTTCTCTCCTTCCAACTCCCACTTTCTCTAATACTGAAGTGTTCACTGACACGGCTATGTTAGTGAAATGTTTTTTGTAAAGCTAAGGATTAGGATAGCTTTTTAATCCACATCATCTCTCTCCACCTATAATGTCACTAGGCTAAACCCCCACTTCAGCCTCCCATTTGCCAAACATTGAAGGATTTGGATTAATTATAAGAGGTGTTTGGGACATCATCTTGAATGTCTAGCCACTCCTAATAAGCTTGACTTCTAAGCAAAGGTTTATATCCGTACCCCCAAACACACAAACACACACCATGGCTGTAATGGAAGTGTCAGTGTTAGATTGGATTACCTCAAGCCGTCCACTCAGATTGTCACTCTGGATTTTCCTGCCAGTGAGGGTATTTTTGACTCTGTGGGGGATTTTGAACTCTGGTATGGATGCTGTTTGTGTGCCCATGTGTATGTGCACGCACATGTGAACTTACAACTTTCAGTAATAGGATCCAAATCACACTGAGGTTAAAAGTTGAAGACTATCTCTGTTTTTTAGAATGACAAGTCATCTACGCCAAGCTTGAAGTCAAACACGCCTACACCGAGGAATGAGGCGCCGACACCTGGAACAAGCACCACTCCAGGACTACGGCCTCTAACTATGGGCAAACCGTCCGGCATGATGGAGGCATTGGGTGAGTATCTGCAAGATACTGTTGTTTGTTTGTTGTTTTTTTTTGGGGGGGGTTGTAATCAAATCATCCAAATGTCACATCCAGTCATACAGGCCCACAGGCAAGCCAGCACCGACTGGTTGTTAGGAAAAATGTGTAGTTCCCAGCACCAACCACCATAACAACTAATAATTTGAATTTCAACTGAATTTGACTGGGGTCTTATTGGACCAAGGGGAAAAAAAATCTCCTTCACATTTAAAGTTCATTTTAAAATTTGACAAAAACACCTCACCCAAAGCTGCTCCCAATTCCTAACCCCCTAACCATGTAATGTAATGCAATTTTCAATGCAACCCTGCGCTCACTGTAACAAATCATTGTTTGATGCCTAACAGAATGAATGATTCTTTCTTCTATGAGGTTTTTATATTTATATTTATCTGGGTTTTTTTGTTTGTTTGTTTTTTGTTTTGTTTTTTCTCTCCGTCAGCCGCACCAGCCCTGCGTACCCCCCTGTCCATCGCCGGTTCTTATGCCACTCCCTTTGCCATGATGGGTCATCACGAGATGAACGGATCCCTGACGAGTCCTGGCGTGTATCCGGGTCTCATTTCCCCACAGATGAGCGCTGCAGCCGCCGCCGCCTACGGACGCTCGCCAATTGTAACTATTCCAGCTTCTATAAAGCATTTATTAGTGAAAATGAGGATTTATCACACACATCTGAATAAATAATGATTTGCCCGTTAGATAACGGCAGCCCTCGCGAACAGCTGTATTTATTATCCGCCGCTACAGTAGGTTGTGTTTGCAAAATGACTTTGAGAAACTTGAGCATTCCTTCTGCATTTCCATAACTCATTGTGAATATTTCTGCTTGGCTGGCTGCAGCTTGTTGTGTGTACATAATGAGAAAGTAGAAAGACGGCCCAGCTCCTTTACTTTGATGTTGGCTAGTTAGCATTCTAAAGACTAGAGAAAAATACATAAATCTTGGCCTCAAATGCATCTCCATGTTTGAAAATCTCTGAGCCCTTCATTAGCATTAGCATGTGGGATGTTATAGCCTTGTGCAAAGCTCCGCTGTATGCAGTGAAGCTCAGTCTGTGCCTTTCAAGGGATTTGCCTGGAAACAATGGTACAAGGGTTCCCCGAGGCGTAAGCACCTAAAGCAAGGCTGCAATCCGAATGTTAGCTTAGCCTGATTTATCTTTGCAGGTTGTTTGCTAACTGTTCCGCCGTTTTGTTCATGCAGGCGGGCTTCGACCCACATCCTCACATGAGAGCCTCTGGGCTGCCAGCCAGCCTCACTTCCATTTCTGGAGGAAAACCGTGAGTATTTAGGTTTTGTGTTTAAACTAGATTTGCATTTAATGGATTGCTTGAACTTCTGATGAGCTTTTCCATTCCTCTCTGTTCTGCAGAGCCTATTCTTTTCACGTAAGTGCAGATGGTCAGATGCAGCCCGTGCCCTTCCCTCCAGATGCACTGATAGGGCCAGGCATCCCAAGGCACGCTCGCCAGATCAACACACTCAGCCACGGGGAAGTGGTGTGCGCCGTCACCATCAGCAATCCCACACGTCACGTCTACACCGGTGGCAAGGGTTGTGTCAAGATCTGGGACATCAGCCAGCCAGGCAGCAAGAGCCCAGTGTCCCAACTCGACTGCCTGGTAACTTTGTTATTTCGTTAGAAGTCTCAGGAGGAGAAAGTGTGAAATGTGATTTAGATGCGTGCCATTAGACTAGCTGTTGTAAGGCTTCCAACCAGAGCACAGACATAATGCATTCATGTTTCATGAAGTCTGTGTGATTGGTCACTTCATTAAGAGTTTTCTTAAGCATCAAATGTAGCCTGACCCCACATCCCCCAGTAGCTTTCCTCCTGATCCCAGCAGACACAGATGTGAATAATTCAGCATAGTGTCTCACTGCTGTGCTGAAATAATCCTTGGTAAGGGGAGGGGGAGGGGAGGGGAGGGGAAAAAAAAGCCTGCTGAGTAATGATGTTCTGATTGGCCAACCCTGTCTGCCATTACCCAGCTCATTACTTCCTCCCAACTGCCTCCCGTTTCTCATTTTGATACTGTGGCTTCATGCAGTTATACTCGTCTGGCCTCCAACACCCTTAAGGTTCGTCCAGAGTGCAATCGGGTCTTATAAAGTCATCAGGGTGCTGTTTTAATTCCACCAAGAGCTCCCACGGTCCTATTGATCTGTCTTCTTGCTTTCTCGGAGCCTGGCCAACAGCTGCAGCCCCAACGTTCTTTCTGCATCTCTTGTTAACGCTGACATCCACATATTCGCTGTATCAGAAACAAGAGTCGGCTACAGTGTGAAAACTTGTCAAAGAAAAGCTGCTTTTGAGTTTAAAAAAAGGAAGCCTTAAATTAATACACTGATGTGTGTCGCTGATGCCTTTGTTTTTCAGCAGAAATGCAACAGTGTCTTCTTCAAATCACTAATTATGCAGATATTTCACATGTAGGAAAAAAAACACAACACACAGATTATATCCAGTCATTAAGATTGGGGCGATACCCTGTCTTTGTTTATGCTCCAGAACAGAGACAATTACATCCGCTCCTGCAAGCTGTTGCCTGATGGCCGCACCCTAATAGTGGGTGGCGAGGCCAGCACACTGACCATCTGGGACCTGGCCTCACAGACGCCCCGCATAAAGGCTGAGCTCACTTCCTCTGCCCCAGCTTGCTACGCACTGGCTATCAGCCCTGACGCCAAGGTCTGCTTTTCCTGCTGCTCCGATGGAAACATCGCTGTGTGGGACCTCCATAACCAGACCCTGGTCAGGTCAGTACTTTGGAGCAGGGGATTTGTTTTAAACACTGCATTTAACAAAACGGGCAAACGTCAACATAAGACACCTGCATGGAGAACTTTCTTTGTTCCTGGTCTAATTTTTGGCATCTTGTTGTTCCAGGCAGTTCCAGGGCCACACGGATGGAGCCAGCTGTATTGACATCTCCCACGACGGGACCAAACTGTGGACCGGAGGACTCGATAACACGGTCCGCTCCTGGGATTTGAGGGAAGGGCGACAGCTCCAGCAGCATGACTTTACCTCACAGGTAACAAAAAGTGGGGGAAAAAAACTTTTCTGTACATCCAGTTATAGTACTGAGTAACCTTTCTGACATGTCTTAGGCATTCAGTTTAGAAGTAGCAGTTAAGGGTTGTTTTAATTATTCTGGTTAGGGGATTCTTGGCTGCTTTGATGTTGTTGCTGATCCTGCTCTGTGCTTGTTGCAGATCTTCTCATTGGGCTACTGTCCCACTGGGGAATGGCTGGCCGTGGGTATGGAGAGCAGTAATGTGGAGGTGCTCCACCACACCAAGCCTGACAAGTACCAGCTGCACCTGCACGAAAGCTGCGTTCTTTCACTCAAGTTCGCCTACTGTGGTAAGTACTAGAGGAAGAGCTGTTTATATATTACAGACCTGTGAGCAAGAAAGTTTCATTTCACTTTTATCTGGCAATTATAGTGTTTAATGTTTGAGTGGCGCCAGATTTTGGCATGAATCCTATACTCCTACACGAAGGACGGCACGACCAAATGAGGGATGTACATGAAGTTGTGTGCTACTCGAGCTGATGACAACAATGCTTCCCTACGTGTAACAGAACCTGCAAGCAGGGACAGACATGAAGCAAACAGACATGATGATAGCGAAATGTTATGATTGTGCTACAAACAAAAGCTAATCATGCGGTGACTATACTTGTCTTGGCTTATAGTGGACGTGTACTCTCTAACATAAGTACCTGTAGAGCAGCAAGTGTAGTCATAGCAGCAGAGAGGATGAGTAATACCAGTGAGCTGCGCTCTCCATCCTTTCTCTTAATGGTTTGTCCAGTTAAGGGTCACGTTGGCATGGAGTCTGTCTCAGCTATCATAGATCCACTTTAGAAATGACCTAGCGTGCAGGACTTTGGACAGCACGCAAGCACCACAAAGAAAAGGCAACTGTTGGATTCAAACCGCAAACTTCCTTTCTTCAAGTGGACAGTTTTCACCACTGAACCATCATGGCACCCAAACAGAGCCAGTTCATTTATATATAAAAAAAAAAAAAGGAACTGGCTCGTTTTTTGTACAAAAATATGTTAAGCTATTGTAATCTTCTTGTGTGTGTGGCAGGTATCACATACCTGTCGATGAGAAGATGTGGTCTAGATTGATTCTGCATTCACAATGAGCAACCATTGCTGATAACGGGGTTTTGGTACCAACAACCAGAATTATATATAAAGAAAAAAAAGTCAACTTGGGAATGCTTGCTTTAACATGTATTAGCAATGTTAAGAAAACATAACTGAAGAGTTAAACAAATGCATAAAATGTGAAATATTTAGAGACGCTTGGTGGTTAGTCTGCTACTCTATAGATTTTTTTTTTTTTTTTGTTTTTGTTTTTGGGGGGTACTGGTGAGAGAATTTGGACTCCTGACCTAACATCCCACTTACTGGCCGCCTGTTAAATGTGGTGAACATGGATTTTTCCGGATCTTTAACTTGTCTTGACAGCCGCTTGGGCTCGAAACCACATCTTTACACACTGCCTGGCCAGGATTTTGCAGTCTCTGTGCAGCTGGTTACTACTCTCTGTACTATAAAAACAAACAGGACCACCATTTGTGTAAATCCAGAAATGACTGAATGTGATTAAAGTGCTGTTTGTTTGCTTTTCAGAATATTTTTATGAACTCTTAATGAGTGCAGCTTATTTGTAAAAAGTGAAATGTGACACTTATGCAGCTCACATGACTGAGTCTGAATTTCAGGGGGTGAGGACTGTACGCGTGAACATGGGAGAAGTTACTTTACAAACAGGATCATTAGGGAAATTTGTTAATGCTTTTTAGCGAGGATCACTGTGCCTGTTAGGCAGACCAGCTGGTTTCCAGTTTGAGGCTGAGACAAATGAGGTTTTACTGCTGCACTTCTCCTAGAAATGTCCATATTCATTTAGTCTCCGAAGACCCCCCACAGCACCGTCTCATATCTCTGCCGCCACAGAACTAGTTCATTCAAATAAAGCTCACTGCTTCAGAGCTCGCGCTGTCACTAATTAAATCATTAGCCAAATAGTCAATTGGGTAATTAATCAGAGGGTGATTAAAATAATTATCTAAGAGGAAGTGGTGCGAGTCTCCTTCATTATGGGCATTTTATGATTGCTGGTGTAGTGGCAATTTTTCCCCTTCAGGTTTTTATGGCCATTGATGATGTTATTACAGTCACGTGTTGGCTGTGTTCTGCACAGCTCTATTGCAGGACTGAAGGACAGCAGTGACCATGTTTGTGTGTCTCTCTCAGCACACACACATTGGATTGTACTCTAAAGAGGTGTGTTCTGTGTTTGCAGGTAAATGGTTTGTGAGCACAGGGAAGGACAACCTGCTGAATGCATGGAGGACTCCTTATGGTGCCAGCATATTCCAGGTAACTGGATAACTACGAACACACAGCTCCAGTCGAAGGTTTGGACATGAAGGAGCGAGTGTGTCCAAACTTTTTAACTGGAGCTGCAGTGCAAAGAGAGGCCAATGGGTCCTAGAATAATTTTGGCAGGAAAAATGGCTAAATTCAGATTGTTTTAATCTCACACTGCACTTGTATACAACTCATTAGTTTTGTTTCTTAATTTTAAAATGCAAGCCGAGGCTTTTCCAGTTCAGATTTCTGGTTTATATTTTGTCCTTGAGCTAATGTGACATCAGCCGATTCTTCCTGAAGGACAGTTGGGCAGCTAATTCATGAGTAATCTGATTGAATTAAACAGCTGTGTACCCACATGGTGCTGAACAAATCAGTTTTCTCTCCTTGTGGTTAAAATATTGAGTCCAAGACTGAGAACCTGAAAACCGACACAAAAGAAATGATGACTTGGAAGATTCAGTGGTAATCCTGTTTTCTTTTCTTTCCGCAGTCGAAGGAGTCGTCCTCCGTCCTGAGCTGCGACATCTCGGCAGATGACAAATACATCGTGACAGGATCCGGTGACAAGAAGGCCACCGTCTACGAGGTCATCTACTAGAGAGAGAGAGGCTCCCGCTCTGCTTCAGCACTTCTACTGAGATTAAAGTTTTCTCCCTGACCAACCGTCTGCGGGCTGCGGATTTCTCAAAGTGTACTCGTGGAAATCAGAGGCGCTGTCGGCCTGAGGATGCTTGTACTGGAAAGAAATGAACTTTTTTTCGTCCTTTTGTCTTTGGGTTTATTTTTGGGTTGCACTTTTTTGTTTTTTTTTCTTTCCTCAAGAATATTTGGATGTAACCTGGTGAAGCAGCGCTTCATTGTGAGAAACTCCTTCCCCAGACATCTTGTGCAAAGTGTACATATTGGAATAAATAAGACATTTTATATATATTATAAAAATATATATATTTTCATGTCCTGGGTGTACTTGTGGTGATTTTTTTTTCTCCCCCTCCCACTCTGTTTGATATTTGAGTGGGACATGAGAACTTTTTAACAGTTTTGCGCTTTGTTTTTCTTAAAGCACATTCTGCAGGCTGATCTTTTTTTGGAAATCAGAGGAGCACCAAACTTGTAGTTTTTTTTTTTTTTTTTTTTTTTAAATGGCCTTTTTGTCACAGTGCTCTTACCGGACAAAAAAAATCACGGTTTCTTTGTGAGATGGAGCTTCGGCTGCTTTGGACTACTGTGGGATCGAACGGTGCACTATGATTCGTGAAAAGACATGGATGTAAATTTCATTCATATATATATAGAAATTCTTTTTAAAGTGTACTAAGTGTACTGCTCTGTCTGTGCTATCTCTCCCCTGTTTGTTTTACCTTGTTAGTTTAAGGGAGATGGGGAAACATTTAAGCTCAGCCTAACCCTTGGACCTCAGTTGGCAGCAGAAGCACAGCGACGGGCACAAACTGAATGACAATGTGCTTTTTGCTAACTTGACGTAATGTGGATGTTGAATTGCTCCATTGATTTCCTGGCTACAGACCAAACTCAAACAGTCCAATCTGTGCTATTGGAATTACTCTGCCCTTTTTGTATCTTATCAATATTCCTGGAACGTGTTTGTTTGGCCGTGACGGGGAGACAGGCAGACATTTGACCCGACTGACTGCGCGGATCGGTCCGTCTCTACAGACGTGCTCGATGCCTGTAGATGCTTGTTAATAATAAAAAGAAGAAGAATGAGGAGGTGGTAATGGCACTTAAATATAAACAACAGAAAAACTCAAGTTAGTGAATCAAGGTGGTGTAAAATTCAAACTGTGCTCTTGGTTCTTGTCAGCATTTCCCACAAGAAATTATGAATGGGGTGAAATGCACCAGTCCCCTCTGAGTAACACCAAAGTATGTAGCAAATGCTGTCGGCACTGAAAAGAAATGTACAGTTGTTAATAAAATCAATAAAACTGTTTTTCTAGACTGGCCCATTTCATATTGTTTGACCCAACGGTGTTCATCAGATGTTCCCGACAAGCACCCGTGCATTGTGAAGGACTGCTCCGACACGCAAGCCAGCATCGCGGGGATGGAACTTTAAAGGAATGCTTTGACATTTTGGGGAATTCTGCTTCCTGATAGCACTCTTACATAAATATGTTACAACCCGCAGACTGTTAGCTTAGCAAACTGAGTGTAAACAGGGAAACGGCGTAGCTCTGATCAAAGGTAACTCTGTACGCTTTGTTTGCTTTACCTGTACAAAAGGCCAAGTTTAAGAACAACTCGCGTGGATTGTGGTTTTCATGGAGGTCTGTGGGCTGAAGGTTACTTTTCTCACTGGGACTTTGTGGAGTCTTATTAGTTTTTAAAGTTGTGTTCAGCCGAAAATGATCCTTCCGGAAAACACTAGCATGTTATTTTTACATTTAAGAAAAGAAAAACCATTTTAAACTGATTTCTAAAATTTTAGATTTGGTAAAATAATCGTTGGCTACTTTTGGGATCTTTTTTTTTTCTAGACCTTTTTTCCCTGTCAGTATGTAGCATCCGCTCTGTATTTCTAACTTAATGGAAAAGGACTACTGAGCCGTCATTATAATTATTATAATATTCTAGCATCTTTAAGCTCAGGCATTAGAAAGTTAACGTGTCTAATAGTAATTCTAATGATACAGTCCAACCATAAGTTCAAATCATGGAAGTGGATAATGAGAATACTGCTTCCCTTTTTCATGTTCAAAAATCTACTTCTTAGGCATCAAACCTGACGTGAATAGATGAAGAATCACAAAATATGTTTAACCCTCTCAGGCCCAAATTAAGTTTTTTGTTGCTAATGCACAACCAAGTCCTGCAGTGGTACTTCTGAGTAAAAAAAACTCATAAAATATGTATGTGGGCTAATCAGGTTGTTAGTTCTTAACTGTTGCAAATCTGCAACGTCTGCCTGGAGAGGGTTAATGTTTCAAACCCAGTTTTCATTTGATTCAGCTGAAACTGCTGTTACTGCCCTCTTTTTTTTTTTAACATTCAGACTAAGGTGGTTAGAAGTATAAATAATAATAATAAAGGGGCATATTGACTTACTGAATGCAAATGATATAGCAGCTAGCAACATAATCTAAAGTATAACAAAAAATGTTATTTAATCTGATTACTGCAAAATCCAAACTTGAAAAGACTACATCCTATGCTATATGTTTCTTTTTTGAATACTCTGTCAGTGCAAACAAAAATGCTTTTTTGATATTCAGCACTGAAACAAATGAGACAAACGTTCAGCACAGCACAAGCTCATGCCACCTACAGAAATACTGACACGGTTCTGCAGTGGTTGGATGTATTGGTGTGGGGCTGGAGGAGGACGCTGCACCAGCGGATGATTTTGTGGAGTGCTCTGGAAACGATCATCTATGTTTGAATGTAAATGAGACCAGTTAGATGATGATCAACTTTAGATGTAAGAGGACAGCTACATGGTCAGGATGTTGATGTGGCAGAGAAGCACAAGTCTAGGAGCACTGGAACTGGAAGCCCAGCAACGAGGCTGTATACTAGAAGAAGAGCATTTCATACTTCCTAAGGATGCTGAAACCGTTCAACGTGCATCAAAATAATGGGGGGTGCTTTGCTGCGGTCTGCTAGGAGGGCAGCATGGGAGCTGGTGACACCCAGCAAATGGGATAAACTGATCGGGAAGGCTGTGATTGGCTGCACACTGGATACTTTTGAAGCAGTGATGGAGAGGAGGTCACTAAACAAGCAGATAATCCTCTGCACCGCTTACTGGACAGGCAGCAGAGCACCTTCTCTAACACACTGATGGAGCTGTGCAGCCATGACGACAGATACAGGACAGCTTTCATATCGCATCAGTTATCTGTTTTTGTTTTTTTTAAAGATTCGGTTGCCATCTGAAATTCTGCAATGCTTTCCTGATTTTAAAATATACCACTTGTTATATATTATTATGATTTTTTACTTTAAGGCAAAGGATAAAGAAACACCTCAATTTTTCCTTTGCTGTCAGGAAAAACAGTTGACGTTGCTCATTAATCATCGGCTAATAGAAACAGCTCGGTTGTTCTTCTTCCGCGCTGTGCAAAGAAAAAATCAGAAGTACATACGTTTATAGAGATGTGCAGTGATTACTGCAGGTGTAATTTTTGCTCACAGAAACAGTTCAGTGTCGGTTGTTCCTCTGAATATGATTGTCGGCGCACACTTTGCTATGAAACGGTGGAGTGCGGTGGAGCGAGGACTTGTGAACTGAAGCAAAGGGCGTGGGAGAGACAGAGACGGTTGTTGTGACTTAATGGCTTTGTTTCCAGGCAGGATGGTTTGTGGTTTCGGGCCTGCTGACAGGAGTAATGGTGGGAGGGATGAGACATGGAGCTTTGGATCAGTGTGGCTCACCAAACCACACACATGCACAGACATGCACGTACACGCACGGCTAGAGAGTGACTAGTCGGTGGCTTCACATGAATCACACAGCCAGCAGAGACACATTCAGTCGCACTCGCATTTCACACACTCCCACACACACACACCTAAGAAAAAGACAAGCTACTCTGGGAATTTGTGGCTTTGTGCTGATATCTGAAATGATTGTTGGGCAGCATTTCTGGATAAAATGTCTCACAAATGAATATCACGCAAACACCAACAGCTATATAGACTGTCAAACTGCAACTTTTCTCTTTTTTTTCTCATTACGCATTTTTGTCAAGTACAGGCCACAGGAGATGATTCATGATACATACTATTAATGTCAGCGTCTGAATCCTGTTGTACTGACTCACTGCCATGAACACTTGCCATGTCTTTTCTTTTTCTCCTCTCTTTCTTCCTCTCCCACTCTCTTGTTCTGCTCCCACCACAGGTGGCGAGTACATTCATTTTCACTTTTGTGGGGGTGCTGGCTGTAAGGCTGTGATTTCTGACTGTGCATGTGAGAGAAGGGGGAGACGGGGTGCTTAGGGATGCAATATGGGGTGATTTTAGCTGCGCGTGTGGGCTGAAGGCGCTGTGCATATGGCTGAGCTCATGCATACATGGACATATTTTGTACAGATACTTCCACATCAATTACCAGCTCAAGGACCTGAAGCTAACCTCGCGTAACCTTCTGCATAATATGAAAAGTGACTGTCTTTGGCAGTATTTTGTGCAATCTGTAAATGTTACATTAATTGCTGGGTGTAACACACACATGCTGGGAGGTAGTTGGTGAGGATTGTGGACTGTCATGACTGTAACTGGCAACATCATTTACAAACCGGATTGCAAAGAAGTTGGGACACCAAACAAATTGTGAATAAAAACTGAATGCAATGATGTGGAGATGGCAAATGTCAATATTTTATTCAGAATAGAACGTAGATGACAGATCAAAAGTTTAATCCGAGAAAATGTATCATTTCAAGGGAAAAATATGTCGATTCAAAATTTCACGGTGTCAACAAATCCCAAAAAAGTTGGGACAAGTAGCAATAAGAGGCTGGAAAAAGTAAATTTGAGCATAATGAAGAGCTGGAAGACCAATTAACACTAATTAGGTTAATTGGCAACAAGATTGGGTATAAAAAGAGCTTCTCAGAGTGGCAGTGTCTCTCAGAAGCCAAGATGGGTAGAGGGTCAACAATTCCCACAATGTTGCGCAGAAAGATAGTGGAGCAATATCAGAAAGGTGTTACCCAGCAAAAAATTGCAAAGACTTTGCAGTTATCATCATCAACTGTGCATAACATCATCCAAAGATTCAGAGAATCTGGGACAATCTCTGTGCGTAAGGGTCAAGGGCGTAAACCCATACTGGATGCCCGTGATCTCCGGGCCCTTAAACGACACTGCACCAGAAACCATTGTCAGTGAACACAATCCACCGTGCCATCCGCTGTTGCCAGCTGAAACTTAACAGTGCAAAGAAGAAGCCATTTCTAAGCAAGATCCACAAGCTCAGGCGTTTTTACTGGGCCAGGGATCATTTAAAACGGAGTGTGGCAAAATGGAAGACTGTTCTGTGGTCAGACGAGTCACGATTCAAAGTTCTTTTTGGAAATTAATTTTCATTTCTAGAAAGAGCTCTGACTCCTACACATAAGCATAAATGC